TATATAAACAAAAACGCTACACACCGGTACACTTTCCATAGACACCTAAACATATGTTTGGCACTAATGGAACCTCAGAGACTGTAACTATATTGACTTAAAATAAAAAATTATAAAACGTTCAAAATGACGGAAATCCGTCTCGGGGACGGAAAACTTTAATCTGTGAAACTGCACCTAAAATCATCACAGACTGAAAAGCAGGAATGTTTAGATACAAACCTAATCTGTGAAGCGGAACTTCTGGGTTGAAAACAGCGTCTTGTGTTTCGTTGTGTCGCAGTTCGTCCTTTAAACGACATCGTTCCTCTTTATAATCTGCGACTGTTGTTTCCAGAAACTCCATTTCTTCCGTAGACCCTTGGTCTCTTTGTTCAGCCTGCTGTCTCCTCATCTCTGGTAGATAAAGTTTCCTTCAAACAACAGATACGGAACCGGTAAAAGATGAAACGAACTCTAGAAGATGAAATTACTGCAAATGTTACAGAAACTTAGCTCGTAGTCTAAAAGTACAGCACAATACCTCACATTTATTATCTTTGTTAGCGTAAAACACTGGTGACTTGACTTCTTCCGCCTCTTCTTCTTCTTCTTGTGTTTTTACTTCTTCTTCTTCTTATTGGGGTTTTATGGCGGTGAGCAAACAACTGAAAGGTGCATGGCCGCCACCTACTGGTGTGGAGTATGGACTGGATCAACGTTCAAAAAAAAAAACAAAAAAAAAACTATATTCTCTCAAACAATCGAGTTTGTTTCAAATATTGCATTAAAGCTCGAATACTTTCAGACTTTGAATTGTGCTGTAATAATTCAAACAAATCCAATCTTAATTTCATGTCAGTGAGTCTAGTATTCAGTTGATTCCTTTCAAGACTGTATTTTTGACAATGTATTAACACATGTTCTACATCCTCATCCTCTCCACAGTACCCACATTTTCCTGTATCATGTTTTCCTATAATGAACAATGACTTATTCAACCCAACATGTCCAAATCTTAGCCGTGATAGAACTATTTCCTCCCTTCTGTTTCTTCCAACGCACCTCATTTCTCCCGTTTTCCTTTGAATTCTATAAAACCAACGTCCTTTTCTTCCTTCCTCCCACTGTTTTTGCCATTTTTCTCTCATTTTTTGTTTAATAATGCTTTTTAATTCTGATTTACTGTATGCTATTTCTATATCCACTACCTCTCTTTTGGTAGCACTTTTCGCTATTTTGTCTACTTTTTCATTTCCTGTTATACCAACATGTGCTGGTATCCATAAGAAAGTCACAGCTAGTCCCATCATTTTCAACCTGTACAGCATTTGTTGTATTTCTACTAATATATCCGGCCGACACTCTGAACCATTATGTTTTAAACTGATTAAAGAAGAGCTAGAATCCGAACATATTATTGTTCTCATCGGTTTAATATCCTCTACCCACTGAACAGCCAATAATAAAGCGACCATTTCTCCCGTATATACCGATAATTTATCAGTGATCCTTTTCCCTACTGACACCCCAAACTCTGGTATGATGAAAGCTACACCGACTCTATCGAACGTATCCTTTGATGCATCTGTATACATTTGCACATATCCATAATATTGGTTAATATAATCAATACAATCATTTGAGTTTATATTATTTTTATTTCTCGTTTTTCTTAGTAATTTCAGATCTACTGACGGTTCTATGAATAACCACCTATGTAGGATTGGCATTGGAACTGTAGGACTAATATTCACTTCATCAAGTTGAACTTCTCTTGTTTTCCGATCCATAATCCAACCAAAACTTTGTGTCTCTTTTTTTCCTTTTTCCCAACATGGTAGTAATACTTTTTGGGTCAGGTGATGTCGATCATGACCTTTTAGATTAACCCAATAATTTAATGCCAACTGTTCTCTTCTAATGTTTAGTGGTATTTCTCCCATTTCCACCAGTATTGCTTCTGTTGGCGTTGTTTTAAATGCCCCTGTAATTACTCTTAAAGCTTGATATTGGATTCTATCCAGTTTCTTTAATGATGTATCTGATGCAGAATTATATGCTATGCTTCCATAATCTATTGTTGATCTGATCAGTCCTGTATAAATGATTTTCATAGACTTCCTGTCTGCACCCCAATCTCTTCCTGTCAGACAGCGCATTAAATTCATTATTTTTTTACATTTATCCACTATTTTTTTAATATGGAATGTCCATGTTAGTCTTTCATCAAACCATACACCTAAGAATTTAAACTGTTTCACTCGCTCAATTACCTGATTATACAATTTTATTTCAATTTTATTGACAACTTTTTTCCTTGTAAAAAGTACAATTTTTGTTTTCTCCACAGACAATTTGAACCCCCACTTAAGTGACCAGTTTTCAACAGTTTTGATAGCCATTTGCATCCTCTTTACAATGAACTCTATATTTTTCCCTCTCTTCCATAAAGCTCCATCATCTGCAAATAAAGATCGTCCCATCCCCTCTTCTACCTCATCAAATATATCATTTATCATCAAAGAGAAAAGTAATGGACTAACAATGCTTCCCTGTGGTGTACCGTTTTCTATTCCAAAGTTATCTGAGTAATCTTGACCTACCTTTACCTGTATTTTTCTGTCTGTTAAAAACTCCTGAATCCATGTTAACATTTGCCCTTTAATTCCCATTTTCTTCAGTTTTATAATTAAACCTGCCCTCCACAACATATCATATGCCTTTTCCACATCAATAAACACAGCTATAATACTTTCTCTATTAACTTGAGCTGTTCTGATTTCATGTTCCAAACACAAAATTGGATCCATTGTGTTCCTACCATTTCTGAATCCACTTTGAAATTTGGACATATATCCTTTCTTTTCTATATAATGTGTTAATCTTTCATGTACCATTTTTTCCATAATTTTACAAATGTTTGATGTTAAAGCTTCTTGTGTTTTTAAGGCGGTTGTAAACAACTTAAAGTGCGTTACCGCCACCTTCTGGATTGGATTATGGACAAAATACTAAAATATTATTAGCCTATAATATCCTGTCCAAATTATCTGTGCTTCTTAAGAACCCAAAAATGCTGGTAAACATCGTATCCCCAGATGACCTTTGAAGCAATTCCTTTATCTCTAACTTACTTTTACTTTTATTTAAATCTCTAATTGACATATCTCTTCTTGTGTATATTTATTGCATTCCAAAATTAGTATTGCAAATATATATGTAT